ATACTAAGCTTCAACGCAGTGAACCCGTCTGGCAGCAATTCCGGCGCCGTGTGTTCTTGCATTGCATCCGTGGCTCTGACGGCGCAGTCTGCGCTATTGCCGAGGAGGGGGGTCGCTGTCTTGCGCGCCATTGGGCCGGCGTCTTCCGAAAGGCTCCCGTTGACCGCGCGATGTGGCCCGAGCTGCTCAGCTTCTATCGCCGTCGGAGGGGCCATGAACAACTTGGGGCCATGGAGTGGAAGCTTGGTTTCGGGATGTTCATGGAATGGGCGCAGTAGAGGAGGGGCGCGGCCCCTGGGAAGGATGGCCTGTCGCACGCAGCCGAGCAGGTCGAAGGGGGCCACGAACTTCTGCGTGATGTGAATGAGGAGCTGTGCGAGAATAGGAGTCGGTCCCGCCCCAGTGACATGCGCGATATGCTGCTCCTCTCCCCACCCGATGGGCCCTGCCCTGATGCTCGCGCCCGTTTGGCTCCCAGGGGCCCCGACACAACGCGGCCGCTTGCATTGTGTGATTCGGATGCCAAGATTATGTCTCTAGCGTCCTGCGCCCCGCTTGATCAAGTGGCTGCTGCGGCGGTGCACGATGACCAACGAGGGGAGGGGGGAGGGCGGGGCGACAGATCTCTTCCAACATTGCGATTGCGGGCGTTTTTTTTTTTTTTTGGGGGGGGGTCCGAATACGGTGGAGGGTGCACCGCGCAGCTTGCAGTTGCTGGCGGATGTTGCTGCTGCGTTCCCGTCTACCCACATTGCATGTACTCTCGCTGTGTAGGTGGCAATGGGCATTCATGATTCGATGTGCCTTTTGTTTGCTGCCTTCGATGGAGACAACTGTGCAACGAGTATGTTGGGTGGGGCAATCCTCGGTATCACGATTGACGTTGGGATGGATGCGAGGCAGGGCGTCCCAGCTAGTATGTGCCTTTTCGCGCTTTCGACTTGTCCCATCTTGCGCGTGGCTGCTGCGCCGTGGAAGCCAACGCGCTGGCCGCCTCCTGGCCGATTGTGATGATCTTGTTTGTTTGTTCTCCCGGACGCGGTGGATGGACTTGGTCCGATTTTGAAACTGTCGGTTGACCTGGAAAGCCCAGTTGGGCTTAAACTGAAAATGACCAAAGGTGTGTTTTTGGTTGTTGGCAACCTCGTATCTTGCTGAAGTCCGCGTTTCTTGTTTGTTCGCTCGGCCCCAGGTTTGCTGACCTGATTATCGCCCGATGTACCAAATACCTCGGGGTGGTCATTGGGCTCGAAGGGGAAACGCATGCTTGGGATCATATTTGACCGAAACTCCTCCACACAACTTTTCAGGTGAAGCGTGCTGGCTTGGGATTAGTTGCTGCTCGTCGTACTTTCCATGCACTGTGCTCTTTTCTGCAGTAGGTGCTGCAGTTTTATGCACCATCCTCGGCACTCCTCGCTGCATGCGCACGGCGTGCTCAATTACTGGCGCTGGGGCCGTGGAGTGCAATGCCGCATGGATAATTGGAGGGATTGACAGTGTGGTTGGGGGGGGGGGGCGGGGTTGAGCTGCGCAATTTGCCGCGCGTTAGTATCGCTGCCCGTGCCCGATGTGCCCACCATTGGGCTGAGTTCCGTGCGGCGCTGGGGGGAGTACGCGCCACTCTTGCTTCGGATAACTGTATCGTGGTGCGACGTGTCAGAGGCTGGAGGAAGCACCCAGTTGTTTACAACATGCCTATTGCCCACGGAAGTCGGTTCCTATTTCTTTTAGTCTTTCCCACCACCGACGGTCGTGCGCAAGGCTGTTCAACGTAATGTATTTGATCACACTAAGAGGTGGTACCCGCGGCCTGCTCGCTCGGTCATTGAAACCCTCAGTGCCTGTATTGAGAAATGGTTCCCATGGTTAACCCCGATCGGCTCCCTCATGCCCTGTGGCGGCTCCAAGTGATTCGTAGGAAGGTCAGCCCGCACTTTGCTGCGACACTGATTCGGATTGCTTGCCGAGGAAATTGCACATCCCGCTTCAGGCTTGCGGCTTGCAAGTGTATCTTGGGCTGTCTTGGGAGCGGGGGCCCCGACAACGCACGGACCTATGCGGTTTACCCACGGACGAGGGAGGTGATTGATTCATGGGTGCACCAGGAAGCACCCGATTACGGACATGATTGGTTTTCAGACTTCCTTTTCTTCTTGACCCCTCGCCTCGGTGAAGAAACCGAGATCCGATTTGTTAGCATCTGTTACGCCTTCTATGTTGCCCACGGCGCGATTCGGAAAGGCTCCCGAATCAGTGTTCAGTAGTTGTCGGAAGGCCGGATTTGAGTCCGTTGCAGGCGCCACTCTGCGGTGCAGGCGGCCTGGAATCAGCCCCACTACGGCCTGCCACGCTTTTCTTTCAGTTACGAAAAGCGGTGCCCATGTCCGCCTTCGGTTGCGGAACCTCTTGAGGGTACTCACCGTGTCTGAATGGGGTCTGCAGTGAGTGCACGCCCGAGTCGAGGCACTCGCAGCACTGCTCGGGGCATGGCCCCGACCGCCTTTCACACTAACAAACAAACCAGCGTGAACTGGGAAACAAAAACAACAACAAATATCAATGGCTTTCGGGACTTCAGGCTGCCTGCGCGGATCTGGCCTGGAGGGGCCCGGAGGAAGTCCGAACTTCCGAAAACCAGTGTTTTTTGTGTATTCTGTTTGTTGTTGGGGGAACGCTACCAGGTTTTATGTGTTGCTTGGTTTGTTTTTTTGTACTTTCACAGGGTTCCTGGACCCAGCGCGTTTCCTTACAGAATTCAGACAACGTTTTCGGTCCACGAACCCTGCGAAAGTTCCCCCCAAGAGAACAAACAAAGCAATCAAATCTGTGAGCTCTCTCCAAAAACTAAAATCAATGGTTTTAGGGAGTTCGGACTTCCTCCGGGCCCCTGCAGGCCAGGTTCGTGCTGGCAGCCTGAAGTCCCGAAAACCATTGATGTTTCGTTGTTTTGGAACCCTCACAGGTTTTATGTGTGTTTCTGTTTTGTGGAACTCTCACAGGGTTCGTTGACCCAAGACGTTTTCGTATTGTTTTTGATTGTCTGGCTGTCCTATTGTTCTTGATTGTATGGATTTCCTATTGTTTTGGATTGTATGTTGTTTTGTTTTTTGTGTTTGATCGTATGGACTTCTCTTTGCTTTGGATGATGTCTGGATTCCTTATTGGGTTGTATGGATGTCTTACTGCTTTGGTTGTGCAGATGTCCTCTTGTATTTGAGTGCGCGGAGGAGTTGGAGATGAGGAGGGGGAAAATGAAGACGAGATGATGATGATGATGCTGATGATGATGATGCTGATGATGATAATGATGATGATGGTGATGGTGATGGTGATGGTGATGATGATGATAGTGATGATGATGGAAGTGGTGGTGGTGGTGGTGGTGGTGGTGGTGATGATGATGATGATGATGATGATGATGATGATGATGATGACGATGATGATTATGATGATGACGATATCTCACCCTTACACACAAGCCACCTACACAAATATACCACCCTTGCAGGGGGGGTGGGGGCGGGCGGGTGGGGAGGGGGTTTGGGGGGAGTCGAGGGGGTGTGTTGGGGGAGGGCGGGGGTCTTGGGTCCCTCTTGGAGGCTCTTGGAGGCATGCTGTTGGCTCTCTTGAGCCGTCTTGAGCTGTCTCCAGCGATCTTGGAAGGCCATCTTGGTTTCTGGGGCTCTCTTGGAGCCACCTGGGGCCATCTTGGGCGCTCCAACCCCGGGCGGAACGCCCCCTCCAGACCCAAGGGAAGCGGGTGGGGGGAGGGGGAACTTCTCCCCTTACCTATGGAGAGTGGGCAGGAGGTTAGCAGAACGATTTCGCTAGACCACTCACGCCCAGAGGGCTGGTTAGCCATGCCAGGGGGCGTGGCCCTGGGATCGCCGATCGAACGGGTAAGAGTTACGGAGCAGAGTGGGCCGTCCCTCGGTTCGTCCCCCTGGCGCCTTCCCATGGCTCGTCCCCTGGTGTTTCCTCTGTCCGTTCCGTGCTTGCCAAGTCCCTTGGCGCCTGGCGAGAGTCCCCTGGCCCGTCCCTTGGGACGTCCCTTGGCATGACATCCCCTTCAGTGGGGGCGTGCATCAAGAAATACAATTTGTTTGCCAGGATGCCCTTGGTTTCTTCGATCCGCGCGCTGCGCGGTGACTTCCCGCGGCCGTTGAACAGCTGCTGCGTTCAGGGTGCTCCGGGTTTCCCCTAAGGTGCACCGCGCGCGCGGGTTCTCAGGGTTGGGCTGCTTGCGATGGTTTCTTGCGACCGCGCCCGCATTGTACGTCCCCTGGCACGTTCTTTGGCGCATCCCCTGGCGCGCCCCTGGCGCATCCTGTGTCGCGCCCATGTGGCCCATGCGTCCTGCGCCCCCTGTCGGTTCGTCCCGCTTCAAAATTGGTTGGATGATGAGATCGTGCTGGTTGAGAGCCCCGCACGTTTTCGACGACAGCCAGCTCGTCGCGAGCCATGCGTTTGAGCATATCGAGCTAAACATCCAGATCAGTTCGGTCAAGGAACGGACACCACGGACTACTAAATCCACAACGCAATGGATCACAGCACAATTGAACACAGTGTAAGCCCGCCCCCTCAGCGTGGAGAGCAATGCAGACTACACCACTGTCGGTAAGTCTTCTTTGGATTCTTATCACGGTGCGAAGTAGAAAATGTTCGTGCGCAAATCCCTAAGCTTTGTGCCGGGCCTGTGGGAATAGTCGGATCGTGTTTCCGAGATATTCTGTAATGGGGCGATATTGGCGGCCTCCTTGGCCGCCTTGGGACGTTGGAACCTTACACAGACAAAAGTGAAGTCAATGATTTTGGTCTCTTCGGATCGCAACTTCGGGCTCAAGCCTAACTGAGGGGCTACGTTGTGCACTCTTCGCCGCGTTTCGCAGCAGGATCCCCTGAGGCAGCCGCGGAGTCTGTTTGTTGACATCCCCGGTCCCATGACCACATCCAGCGCGGGATCCGCCGTAAGCGGCGGCGACACCTTGGAGGAATCAGAGGTCGAGCGCGGCCCGATGGACTGGCCAGACACGGACAGCGAGCACGACGGCTTCGCCTTCCCGCCGCCCGCGTGGCACCAGCGCCCTTGGCGCTCCGCCGCATACGCTGGCAGCGCGTGGCCAACGCTTCGCGCCCGCGCCGCCGCTCGCGGACCCAGTGAGGCTGAGGATGAGAACGGCCCGATGGACTGGCCAGACACGGACAGCGAGTACGACGGCTTCGCCTTCCTGCCGCCCGCCTGGCACCAGCGCCCTTGGCGCTCCGCCGCAGACGCTCTCAGCGCGTGGCCAACGCTTCGCGCCCGCGCCGCCGCTCGCGGACCCAGTGAAGCCGAGGATGAGAACGGCCCGATGGACTGGCCAGACACGGACAGCGAGTACGACGACTTCGCCTTCCCCCCGTCCGCGTGGCACCAGCGCCCTTGGCGCTCCGCCGCAGACGCTGGCAGCGCGTGGCCAACGCTTCGCGCCCGCGCCGCCGATCGCGGACCCATGGAAGCCGAGGATGAGAATTGGCCGGCGGGCTGGTCAGACACGGACAGCGAGTACGACGACTATGCCGCCCCGCGCCCCGCGTGGCTCGTTTGAGGAACGCGCGGTTTCGAAACCGAGTGGGCGGAAGCCACGTGCCATCGTCTGCCACATTTTTCTGTTGCCAGCAGGTTGTTTTTACACATTTTCCAACCCAGAGGAATTCTGGTGAGCTAGTCGCGACATCCCCGAGGAGGTTCCCAATGATTTCACGGTCAGGACAGCGTGCTGTCAGCGCGTGATGTTTCAGGGCAGCGTGCCCCAGATCTCCTCCCCATCCTGATCTCCCCTCCCCCTTGCGACCGCACATGCTCCGCCTGCCGGCGTGACAGAACAATATTTCTGTGGCAAGGCAGCATGATGCTGTCTCGTAAAGCCCGTGTATTCTTTGTTCGACGCAAAGGAAGAATGTGTAAGAGCTTCGCCCTATGCCGCAGGCCCCCCTATTCTATGAGAATGGCAGAGATCAGAGACGTGTCGTTGTGTCCGGGCGCCATCTTGAAGACATCTGAGAGCATGTTGCGGGGACGGATTGGCATTAGTAACACATGTTGCAGAGTTTGGTCTATCGTACAACACTTTGTTGTATTTTGGCAGTTTCCCCCTTGCAGAACCGTGAGTACTCCAAATTCCTTCTTAATCGTCGCCTGTGTCCGGTGTTTTATGACGCCTTTTTTGTAATTGTGGGGTCCGGTTTATTACGGCGTTTTCTTTGGATTGGGACTTAGAGGGTCCAGTTTATCAAGGCGTCCCGTCGAAGAGGAGGGTCTGGAATATTAGGTCGCACCTGGAGGAGGGTCTGGTTTTTCAGGGGGGGTCGATGAATAAGGGATTAGGAGTAGTTCACGAGAGAATCTGGCTTCGGGTGCGCGTACCTAGCGTAATTTTACAAGGATTCTGGCCTCGGCAGCGCGATGGAGTGTAATTCTTGCAGTGTCATTTCAATATGGACTCTGGCCTCGGGAGCGCGCCTCACTGGCGTAATGTTCAGGAGGGGAAAATGACACAGACACAATTCATCTGCGATCCCCCTAGAAAATATGGGAAAATATTGGAAGTGGGGGGGAAGACAAAAGCCCTGAAAATATAGGAAGATTTGGGGAATCCTGTTATTTGTGTCTATTTCTTTATGTGTCCCAGGGCCCCTTTAGAGTCACTGGCGTAATGTATGTTGGATTCTGTCGTTGGGAGCACGAGTCCGGCGTAATTCAAAAGGGGTTCTGGTGTCTGACATACACGTTCACAATGATGTTGGCCTCGGCAGCGCAACATGGCGTACTTTGCAGTGCATCTGGCCTCGGGAGCGTGAATCCACCGAAATGTACGACGGATTATTGCCTCGAGGGTACGAATCTCCAGTATCTTCACGTGTCCCAGGCCCACCAGACAGGAAGGCAATGTGCTTCAGTGACGGTGGTCAGCGTGGTGTTCGCCTCCCCCTCTTGCGCAAACAGTAACCACTCATAGTAGGAAAGAGACCGTAGTTTTAGAACATTGGAGGCTGGAAACTGGAACAGGAGCAGGTTGCAGGGAACCTCAGCCGCGCAGCCTGATGGCCCCACAAGTGGGCTGGCGGATTCTGCCCGCCCCAAGAACCATTCTGCCTTCCAGGAGGGTAATCTTTATGATCTTTACGGAGGCCTCCCCAGCTGGTGAACTTTATGATTATGTTGTTTTTTTGTCGGTGTAGATGATTGACATCGCGTCAGTTCTGTGCGGTAGAGGCTTCACCATTTCCCTCGCATGTCCCCGAGAGCTCTTGAATTGCAGTCGCTATCCCTTGATCTGCCCCGTTTGCCTGGCCCTCCGTCCGTCGCTCTCCTCCCTGTTGCTCCGCCGTCCCGCCACGACCATGACACTTTGGTTTCGGGGGCGGCCAAGAGAGGGCTGGTGACCAAGGGAGGTGGGGGGTGGACATCTTGCCGGGGCCCTTGCCATTTCACCAGACTTCATGGCGCCGCTTCTCGTTTCAATGCCTCCCTGCCCCCCCCCCCTGGGCACGCCGCGCACATGCCGCCGGCCATGATTGGCGCCCCCCCTCTTGGTCTGCACGAAGGACATGGGTACGGAAAGAAGGGGTACAGTGCCCAATAGCAGTTCCGGTTCGTTTTGGACAGGACTCGCTGTCCGCGCCGCCGCGGCCAGTGTCAATTTGAGACAGGAGGCCGCCTGCCCAACACCGGCCGCTGTTGGTTTGGGACAACACTTGCTGTTGGGCATCGTGCCCCTTTTCTCCGTACCCACTTCGGGCGTCCAAATTTTGGACGCCCCCCTCTCGGCCGCCCCCGAAGGCTGCAGGCAGCGCGCTCCTTCTAGGGTGCTGCCCGCACGACCCGTGCCGGACGGTGCCTCGGGCCCTCGGACTCCGTGGCCTGCGCTGGCGCTTTGCTGCCGCTCGGCGGCTCCTGGTTGATCTCCCGGTGGTCCGGGCAGCGCCGGCGTGCAGTGCATGTCCTTGCTCGCCTCCTCCCTCCCTCTCGCGGCGGCGACGACAAGGGCGAATGGCCCAGGGGCGGACATTTACATGTGGTCGCCCGAGAGCCTCGCCGAAGGCACAGATCATCGGCACCCCTGGACACATGCATTGCTCCCCCCTGGTCATGCGCCCCTATTGTCGCCTCCGATGATCCCTCCTTCTCTGTCCTCTCCCTCATCCATCCGAGTGCGGCAAGTGTGCACAGTCATGGCCGTAGGGAGCTGCATTCAGCGCTCGCGTGTGGCCACCTCCCCTCCACCCACACCTCGCCGATTCGAGAGCAGATATGCCCGCTTCGCGCTGAGGCTTTGTGTGCTGTGTCTTGCCGAGCACGTTTGAATATCAGTTGATGGCCCGCACATTCGCGTTGTTTTCTGGCGTTGATACGTGAGGATCGACGTCAGCAAGTAATGCAGCACATGCCAGCAATGGCAGTGTACTAATCTGTCATTCATTTTTTAATTGATCCAGCCGGGTCTGTCGGACCCGCTCGTTCGCTGCCTTACTGCCTAACAACATCGTGGCCCTGGGAATGAGTACCCCTTCCAGTTTGCAAGGGATCGGACCGTAGCCTCCGTTGCTTGTTCGGCTTTGCAGCGGCTCGTGGCCCTGGGAGCGCGGAAATTTACGAGGGATCTCGGCGGCGCGTGGCCCTGGGAGCGCGGAACTTGACGAGGGGTATGTGGCCCTGGAGCGTAGATCGTGGATGCCGCGCACCATGCGAGAGACCGTGGCCCTGGGAGCGTGGACCCAGCGCGACTTACAAGAGGTCGTGATCCAGGGCTCCCAGGGTCCCTGCGAGGTCCCCCTCCTCTCGTGCATCTCTCATGCCCCTCTTGGGGCCTCTTGAGGGCTCGGGCTGCCGTCCGAGGGGCCTCTTGGATCCGCTTGTGGCCCTCGGAATCGGAGGAAGAGGAGGAGGAGGAGGAGGAGGAGGAGGGAGGGAGAGGCTGGGGCTGCCGTCTGAGGGGCCTCTTTGGTCCACTTGTGGCCCTCGGAATCGGAGGAGGAAGAGGAGGAGGAGGAGGAGGAGGAGGAGGAGGAGGAGGAGGAGGAGGAGGAGGGGAAGCGCCGTATCTGGTGCCCTCCCCCAAACTCGCCCGACGGCCGCCAGTCCCCGCGGCCGCCCAGGATGCCCCATGCCGAGAGGTCTTCGGACGTGCGCGGCAGCCCTGGCCGCCTCGAGATCCAGTGGGGCCCCCCGGGGGCCTCAGGCCTGCGCGTGCCGCCGCGCGCAGGCTTCTGCGCACGCGGCCCAGCACGGCGAACGGGCGCGCAGTCGAAACGTCGCGATCTTCCTCCTCCTCCTCCTCCTGCCTCTCTCCTCTCCCTTCTCCTGCCTCCTCCTCCTCCTGCTCCTTCTCCTCCTCCTCCTCTTCATCGCGACGCCCGTCGCATACGTCACCAAGTACACCAGCAACTCCGATAAGGCCAACACCAGCTACTGGAAGGACAGCGGCCGCGATAACGACCACGAGGATAACGGTTACTGCAACGCTGGCTACAACAATCCAAACACGACCGATGGGGAACTCAGCGGCTACTACCACAAGGACGAGGAGGACGAGATCACCACCACCAAGTACATCGTCATCGAAGTCCCGTGCCCGCTCAGGGCTGCTCTGGCCAGTTCGCCAATATCGATATCCACGAGCCCGTCGACGGCCACTACAGCAATCCGCAACCCCGTCGACACCAGCGTCAGCGTGTACAACGTCGTCACCTTCCAGCTACCACTGCCTCTCCGAGTGGTCCGCGGTACTGTCCCCGCGGCACTGTCCCCGCGGCTACACGGACGACCACACCGCCGACGGCCACGGCTACGCGGACAGCTACACCGACGGCCACACTGGCAGCAACGCCAGAGGGTCGGGGGCGGGAGCGCGAGGCCCGCGCCGGCGCGCCTCCCCCCGTTGCTGCGACCCCCCCGCCTGGGGAGGAGGCGGGGAGCTCGGGGCAGGCTCGGAGGCCGCTTCTCGGCCCCCCCACCCTCCAGGCCCAGGCACCCCCTGCCCCGCAGGGTGCTCCACCCTGGAGGTGACCCGTGCTCCGGCCCAACAAAAGCGGGAGGACGTCGCCCCTCCCCACGGGGCTCCCCTCGGCGGCCCGCCCCACCCGCCCATCCCTTCGGGCTACGTTGCCGAGGGCCGCCCCCGCCGTTGGGGCTGGTTTCCCGTGGGCACCGTGGAGGTCCAACGGCTACACCGAGAAGCCCGGCCACGCCGAGGACGGCGGCTACGGCTACGCCACAGACGGCTGCCACGCTGGCGACTCTGCCAATGGCGGCTTCACCGCCGGCGACTCCGGCTACGCCACGGGCTGCAGCTCCTCCGCCGTTGCTCACGACTTCGCCGTCGCCACCCACCGCGCCGCCGTCGCCGAGCTTCGACCGCCACGCCTCCAGCTCCAGCCCCGAGCTCCGACGAGGGTCTAGAGCGGCCCCCCAGATACACATCGGAGATCGTGTGCGAGGAAGACGAGCAGGAC